ATACATGTATATTTAAAATATTTTTATAATCACAATTGTTATAAGATTAATTATTTAATCAATAACTAATCAATAACTAATAACTAAATCAATAACTAATTCAAATTAGATACAGACATGATAAAATTTGCCTAACGATAGTGAGACAAACAATATTTTTATATTGTATTATAAATTGTATATATACAAAAAGTTTCATAGTTAATAAAAGTATGAGGATGATCTAGTAAATCTTCATATTTTATGTATTAATATTTATATATATATATATATTTCTTATAATGTTTTATAAATGATTTGTTTATACGTACATTTTGCGTATGTAATAATCTTGCTCAATTATTATTTAACTTCCGAAGTTAGCGAACCTAATCGTAGATCTTTTAAATATTAATTAACGGTTTAAGAATAATAACGTTGAAAGTATCAAAAAAGTATACAAAATATAAATAATTATTTAAATTACCTATGATTTTTCGCAATACGATTTACATGTTGTGGGTGAATATCTTTAATTTGCAATATATATCAAAGACATAACTTCAATTTCATATTTTGAAATTGAATAAACATATGCCCATGATATAAATTTGAGAATAAATATTATTGTAAGCCGTTTAATAATATTCCAAATTATTGGAACTTTACTTCCTAACGGTATATATCAGAAAATTTTTTTTTGGAAATATCACTTGCTTGTCCATACGAGGACTCATCTTTTTCAGTGTAAGCACCAAAGAAGGAGTAGCTATCTACCTGTGTGTGACAAAATAGCACTCAATCATGACTCTATCGTCGAACCTACATGTATGGACGAAACCATACAGACTGCCTACATCATACAGACTGCCTATATCATAGAAACTGCCTACATCATACAGACTGCTGACCTCTAGAAAAAACACAAGAGGCCATTGCAACGCGTTGATTATGGGACACGCGAACGTAGTCTGATGCCCACGCGTACGCAACTCATAGGGGAACCCGTCCACCCACTTTCGGCCTCGGCGAGCGCTTCTGTCCCCAACTCCGTTCCTCTCGACCGCAGGGCCCAACTCCTTTGCCATTTAAAACGCAATGTGCGCATCAGTAAAGAACTCCTCTCCTCTACCTTTTCACTGATTTTCGTTTTCTTCTCGCACCTTGTATCGAAAGAACAAGAGCCTTAAAGAGAGGACAGACGACTTTGTTCAGTCGCCATCCAGTGTCCTTTCGACAACGTGCGTGTCTCCAATCAACGGCCAATACGACCAACTTCCACCGAGTGTCCAATTTTACTTATTTTCTCTTACTTATCCATGTGCAGTGTGTGTCATGTATTTCAATAAAAGTGTTGTTCCGGAAATGTTCTCTCGTTGGGCGACTGTAAAAACGTATCTCTCTTTCTCGAGCTTCTCTATGAAGCGCCAGCATAGTAATCGAATTCGATTCCAACGATCGCCCACCTACAATGTCTCGTACTACTCGTACTCATATGTGAATAAATAATGTCCTATCTAAGCATCATTTGAATTAACAAACGTTCCCTAAAATATAAAGGAACAGATAATATTAAACATGTTATCATGTCGTAGTCATTGTATCTGCCTCGAAAATAAATAGTGACTCGCGAACGAGGAAGTTACAAAAGGGAAACGATTTAATCGCACCATGGCGAGGAAAAAGGAAATGAAACTAATACCGTGTTAGGAATTATAAACTGTCTAATCAACCTTCGTTTTGTCGAAAACACATACGATGAGCGCGCGTGCACCTCTCGAGACGTGTTTTAATCCAGTTATTCTCGAAAGCATCGATGTGCATGTGTGCGTTCGCGTCAGTATTTCACAGCCAGTGTTGCCACACGCGCTATGAGAAATGTCGTGATGTCGGTTAAGTGATTGCGCATGTTCACATCGCTTTAATAGCGGAACTTAGTTGATGGAGAAGGAAACTAGGAGAAGGAAAACTGCAAGCAGAATTGTCTGTTGAGATATAGTCATATGGAATAAGAAGTGAATGCTGTTGACCGGGCGGTCGAGTTTCCTTGTTCAGGTATTTCGACTTCAATCGAATACCAAAGTACAAACTCCTCGCTTTTCTTTAGTTTCCTTAGCTCCAGTTAATATCCATTTGCTATTTTTGATATTCAAGATGGAGGATCATTGATCATTGGCTTTTTCGCGTATAAACTTACGATACAAACAAAAATTGCAGAGAAATGTAAGTGAGAGAGAAGAGGAATAATGAAAAATTATTTTACATAATTGAGCATATTTTTAATACAATAAGTACTTTTCAGATATTTAATTGCCTACTACGATTTTTTATTGCCTTCATTTATTCTTAGTTCATGCAATCATTCAGCATCATATCTATAGTGTTTGTTATCACCTAATTAGTTAGTTTAAGATTATGAAAATCTGTAAAAAAAATTCTCATTTATCCATCTCATATATCTATAATAGACTATACCGTTAATTTTATTATTGAAGTGTTTTCATAACCGAAATAATCATTACTTCCTAATGTTACAGCGATTTTAAGCTTACATGCCGTTGCATACAGGAAAAATACGATTACTTATACTTATTAAGTATTTAGCATATCCTTATAAGTAGTATTCGTTAATGGCTAATATTAAATTGTTATTTCTTGTTTTTACTTATTATATACTACTACTACTACTACTAGTACTACTACTACTACTACTACTACTACTACTGCTACTACTACTTTTACTCAAAATTAATTTTGAGTCTTAAGAATTAAATCAGGAACAATAGAGAAATAATTTATATTTTTAAAGAACTCACGGATATAATGAATATAAAGCGCAACTTAAAAATGAGACTGATTGATCTTAATACCATAATAGCGGATAATCTTTGAAGGATCAGAAAATTGAAGAATGGGGTAGTTGCCAAAAAGTTACGTACTTAATGAAAAATACGGGGACAAATTAATAAATTATTTATTATTCTTTAATTTATTATTAATTTAAATGTAAAAAAATGCACGGTAATTATTAGAAGATATTTATTTTTTAATATAAAATTTATGTATTAGTATATTAATTCTTGATAAATATAAACATATGTATATAAAAAATTTATTTTATATTTAAATAAAAGAAGCTTTATTAGTTTATTTAAGAATATGAAAAAAGTTAAGTATTATATATAAATATTAAATATGATACTAAATTATTATATTTAACTGAAATTTATTTATTAGATAGTATAATTTATTTTTAATTTAATATTCGATAGAAAGAGTTACATAAGTAATGAAAAGTTTGAAATTTAATTAGACGAAGTAAACTTGCGGTAGTTACCATGTATGGAAATGTGGAACGTAAGAGATTGCATATACTGCTTTTAATTGAATAAAAAATTCGTGCATTAAGACTGGGTTAGTTTTTCTTTTCCTTTTTTTCTTTATTTTTTAAATAGAAATTTTAAAACTTATGTAAATTTAATACTCTTAAGTGAATTAGTTTAAAGCTCAAATTAGATTATTATTTATTTACTTAGATTCAACAATTATCATTACAATATAAAAAATAATTTACAAATTAATTTGGTTATTTATATAAATATAATTAATATATAATTGATTATTATGGGAAGTTACATGAGAATAATAATATATGCTAATAAATTAAAACACTTGTGATAATACATAAAATTACTTTTTATTAGCTATAAATGAGCAGTATTAAAATAATATGAAAATATATATTACTGATGTATCAATTAAAATCAGATTTCTGAGTTATAAATCCTAAGTTTCCTAGAGTATCTTTATCTAGTTCTTTATCAGTACCTATCCTAACTTGTATTACAGTATTTTTTTATTTATATAATTTTTAACTAACTGTTGATAATCTATTTTAAAATTTTCTGCACCACTATTAGTAAATTACATTCATTTGCATGAATTACCAAATAAAAATTTAAGTATGGTTAAGTAAATGTTGATTAAAATGTGTACGTAAAGCTTTGTTACCAATAACAAATTTTAATTTGTCATGCAACTTTTTTGTGTAAATTATTGCGATGCAAGATTATCGGCGATTAAATATATATCTCGCGTGTGTAATGATGCAGCGAAAGATGTAAAATTTCTCCGAAGTGCAGAATACTTTGCCCAATGCTGCTAAATATTTGCAGCTGCTTGTAAGCTAGAACCCGATCGGGAATAACGTCGGAACTATGGCGATCACGTGTACATGGCCACCACCCCTACCGCCGGGCAAACGTTTCCTCCAACGACCATCACGGAAGCTCACCGGAGCCTCGACCTATCGGAGCTTTCGAGATCCAGGCCTCGAAGCTTGGATACCGGCGGAACAGCGCCTTGGTGCAGCATGTCACTACGATGATGAGCTGTACGACATCGACGACTTCGGACTTAACAATATTGTGGCCATCGATCCACTTATGCGGTCAGCCATCCATCTATTCAAGAACGCAAACAGCGAATGCGGACGGGCTTTCTACCTCTCGCCGAATCATTTTTTTTTTTTTAGAGAAAATTACATTTTCACAACCTCGTCCTAATTTCGTAGACGTTAGCAGTCGTTGAAAAAAGATTCGACACTACGAGTGTCAAAGCGAGAATTCGGAACTCGAGTTTGAAAAAAAAGAAAAGGCCAATCAGGAAATTTTCCATGATAGTGCGAGCCTTTACCAAAATTGTAACATAGAAATGAACCGTGCCTACGAGGTAGAAAACTCTTTCGTATATTACAATCCTTTTAAAGAGTGCTCATTTATTATGATGATCTCATCTTAAGTACTCATTCGCTAATTACGTAACTATAGTAAAAAAAAAATTGTTTAAATTGTATTATCTCATAATCATACAATAGAAAGTTATTCAAAGTTTGTTCGATTTCTCTTTCATCTTTGCGTTCACAACTAAAAGCAACATTATTTTAAAAAGCAATTTACCTAACACCGCTGGGGTGAAACCTCTCATAGTGAATTGTCACTCACATTTGACGGAATATTAACGTTTAACTATTTGGCAGAACGATTTCGTCGGATGACAATAACTAGCGTATTTCTAAAATGCACTTTGATATGCACGCGTCTAACTAAACGCACTCATCTAATAAAGGACCGGTAGCAGAGTAGCAATGAGCGAACGTAGCAGCATGTACTATTCTGCTAGCACTTTATTGAGCCCCCCGCGGATGACTCCTGATGCTGTCAGCGGACCAAAAGTCAGCCTATTTCGCAGCAAATCAGAGGGAAACCTGGTTGGGAAGAAGCAGCGCCAACAGCACCAGAAACTCGGCAATCTCATCGTCATGCCTCTCGATCGCTGCATCCGAGCAATTTACGGAAGCTGGCGTAATCTCAAGCAGCGTAAGTTCTCTCTCTCTCTCTCTCTCTCTCTCTCTCTCTCCTTATATATACCTATATATCTATCTATCTATTTGGATTGAATTGCAAAACTTTGGGTATACACCTTTCCATTTCACAATATGTGACGTAACACATTGGTAATAATACCAAGAATGAAGTTGCATTAATAAATCCTTACTATTTTAACGGGTCCTCGCCATGATTTTCCTAAGGTAAGAGATTCTGCGCTTGGCCTACTTATCAGCCACTGCGCACATCATTGTACAATTCGATTGTTTCGGCAAGGATTGTATGTTGATCTTCAAGTACAGCAATATGAGTACTTTAATAAAAAATTAATAATAACATGACACTCTTATCAGGTGAATACGCTTTTAATCTTGAAGTAATAGTCATTGTTTCAACATTGACCGCTTAATATTAAAAGAATGTTAAAAATAATTTTATATTATTTATTTTCCATAATTAATACCAACTAATTAATCTATATTATGTCATTAATAATGCAGGTGTAAATTATGTATATTCTAAACAAATTATTTAATTTTTGTTAAATTATTAAAATTGCAATATTATTTTGGAGCTGATACAAAATATTTATTACATAGTTTGTAATAGTTATATAAATTCCACCATCACAGTCAAATAGCTCCATCTCCTTATATTTCCGTTACCATTACAGATAAATAATAATCAAGAACTTGATGAAAAGAAAATGAAAATTATTTGCATATAAATTTCTGAAAAAATCAATTTGTCAAATTGAAGTTCACAAGTTTGTCACTATAAATTGCTTTTAAAACTTAAATATGTGACTCGCATATGTTTCTAATTAAAAAATAATTAAAGAAATATGGATTCTGCAATGAAGCCGTATTAACTAAGTCGGATAAGCATTACCGAACGAATAATTACTACATCGTTGATTAAAACATCAACAGTTGCATTTTTAGTCGCACATGTGTAAAATAATTTTTATTATGCACTTCGCCGTTTTTTTTTTATAAAAGGAGATACGTCTTCGTTACGATATTGTATTATACCTAATGATAGACTAGCCTCGATTCACTCATGAAAACCTCTTTTTCTTACTCAGAGGGAGAATGGCGTTTTACTGTTAAATCCTTTGCATATTAATTCGCTGCATTATACTAACTACTTGACAGCAAAATTCCAATTGTAGATTGCCCAAATTCATCGTGTTTAGCACAAGATTCTTTCCTTCCGTTGTTCATACCCCGCCGGTTACGTTTTTTCAGTTTTTTTTATCCAATACTGATCAAAATTAACCGGGACCTTCTCATTCAATCAGTCAACCGTGAGTCAATCGAGGTCGAACATGAGTAATGATATGAGTACTCGCGAGTACCTTTACTGTATGTGGACGACGTCTGCTAAGCGCTGGAGCTAGCACTCGAAATTGGATGCAACTTAACAAAACAAGGTAAAAAATCTCAACGTGAAAAGAAAACTGATCGAAGAGACTCCCTGAAAATAGCCTGAAAATACCAAATTTAGTTTTATTTTTTTCTAAATTTAGCTTTATTTTCTTTTATTAGTATTATTATAGTCTATTATTATTCTTTTCTCACAGTACCGACAATTATTACACACTGCATTTTGAATCTATTCGTCTCTCCCTTACAAACTTGCATATATCCTTATCCCACTTAGACTTCCTATTTTAGTTATTTTTAACCGCACTATGTTATGTATGGAAAAGAAAGTTAATAAAATTCTTTTTTTTATATCAGAGATTATCAAGTTCCCTATAACAGTACCATTAGAAAGCGAAGCGTTTCGCGGTTGCTCGTAAGTGCTCTGAAACGGACGTATTGCACTTTTATACTTGAAAAAAATTAACAATATTGTGTTACAAATGCAATAAGAACGCATTCATCAACAAAGTTGTAATTATTTTGCATACAAGATTAATCATTCGTTTTTCAATATAAATACACTTCTCAATATTTGATAAAATTCTTGATATAATTATTTAATGTATATGCTACATCATAAAGCATTAGATACCTTAATGATGATGCTCTTCCAAATAAATTGATAGAAATTTTTTTATAAAAGAAATGCTGTTAATTTATTCTTAGCATAGTAACCGAAAGAAGACTTAAGTCTATAATATCGATTTATCTTTTATATCCGATCTTCGTAACCTACATTATACAACTCGTCTGACTCACGAACAGTGTCAATCATTTTTACATTCATACTGTAATACATATATAATGTGTGATTCATAAAGAATTCATTACCATTTTTTTAATAGCAAATGCGTATTAAATTTTTATATTTTGAATAACCATAATTGCAAATGTATTATTATATAAACACTTATAACAGTGTGTAAAGTAAAACACAGGAATTTTAATTTAGGTATCTGAAATTGACAGAGTTCTTTTCCCTCAATTTTTAGTAGTTACTCGATACATTATCAAAAGAAATTGTAAAATCATAAGATCATTAAATAAAAAAAATCTATCACTTAATGATTAATATGAAAATATTTGAATACTTTTTTTGATGATAGTATAATCGATCAAAATTCATATATATTATAGAGATATTTGTTTGTTTCAAAAGCATTAACAAGTAAAATATACAAATCAATTATTTAATTAAATATATGAATATTATATTGATTATTATGAAACAAATGCCACATTTATTATGTATTCTATGAATTATTATTTATTACGTAAAATTATTTACAACTGTAAGCAGCTTTAAAAATTTAATGAATATGGACTAAAATTTAATTACTATTTCTATTTTTGTTTTAGGTAAGTTTACAAATTTCAATACTTTTTACGCAAACATAGAAACTAGGTAAGTGCTGCTCAATTATACATTTATTCATTTAATTTTTTTCATTTCATATACATTAATATTAACGATAAAATAAATAGTACATAAATGTATATATGTTATAAAAAAAATAGTAAGCAAATTACTTAAATTTTTCTTAGACCAATAAAAATTAATAGTCTGTTATACTTTTAAGGTAAAATGAAAAAAGAAATTTCAGTTATTATATGTCTATTTCAATTTTCTTTTAGCAATTATATTAAATTAAAAATAAACATGTAGATTTTTAATATTATAATACTACACTTTTAATAATAGATAAAATGAGAATGCATTAAAACAATATTTTAATAGAATTTAATAGAATCATTATGCCTTTTTGTGAAATAAATTTTCAAAATAAAATTTTTATTAAAATTCTATTTCTGTTTTCATAATAAAATATATTCAAAAATTGACTTGAAAAATGTTCAGAATTCATAGTTAAATATTATATAATAAATACTAAACTACCACATGTACTACGAAAATCTGAGGATTTCTTCTTCATATTCGCTTTATTATACAAAAAATGTAAATAAAATTGATATAACAATTGGGAACTTACATATCCATAGATAAAAAAAATAACCAAATCAATTAAATAAAAAAAATCTTTATTTGTTCTATTAAGTATGTAACTTTATATAGAGAGAAACTGTATAATATGGAATATTATATTATAATAGCACATACAAATATAATAAATAACACATATAAATAATAAAACATACAACACATCTATAATAAAGAAAAAATAATATACAGCACGTTATTCATATGAAAGCTTTAATAGTAGGGAATAGATTAATTTACTCCAATCTTATTATCTTTTCATCAATTATTATAATTTTAAAAAACCAAAATTTTGTCCCCATGCGTAGTTGTATTTAATTAGTTGAAATATATTAAATAGTGAACTTGAACTAAATGATAAAAATATGTTTTTATCATTGTCTAAATGTAAAAAAAGCGTGTGGAAGTCGTGAAAACACGTATACGCAATATAAATTTAATTTAATAATATTTAAAATTTTCATAAAATAATTTAAATATTTTTTGGTACACGGTCGCTGGATAAAAATCATATTCTTAGGGAATGCGAGCGGCTGTTCTAGCCAGAGAAGGGCTGACGTGTCATTACGATCATATACAAAAGGGAACAAAGCAATGGAAATAAAGAAAGAACGGACCAACAAGGTAGAGATAAAGAGACTGATGCGAGAAAGATTCTGGCAGAAAGAGAGAGAGAGAGAGAGAGCGAAAGAGGGGGGGGGAGAACGGAGAAATAGGTAAAAAAGGCATAAAGTGCTCGTACCGGTTTCATGCTCTGTACATAGGAGGGGATTGGAGAGTATATACATGTTCGTACGTGTATCCGTGTATCCAAACATGAGGTAGAACGACGACAAGATGTCCGTAAAGGACGGTGGAATGACCGATCGATCGGGAGAGGAGATGAACGAACGAACCAAGTTGCACTTTCCTACCTAGACTTGCCTGGCCGTCCTCTTTCTCGAGTACATCGTATCGGTCTCTTTCCTTCCTCCCTCTCTCTTTTTTTTCTATCTCAACGACCTGCTCTCTACCCTAAGCGTTGCTTCGAATAAGGCGTTTTTCTTTGCAAAATGAGAGAGCGCACGAAGAAAGATAGAGTGGAACCATAACGGTGTCCTGACGATCGACGCGCTATCATCGTAGATCTCGACTGATTCAATATGAATACTACCTGGATTATGTATCCGGGTGGTGTAGCTGTGACGAGAACGCTGAAGCGATCGACGTTTATGAAACGAGTATTTTAAGAAAGGAGTGGCTAGATTAAATTGGGTGTGAGTTCCTTCGATTTATTGATTTTACGGAAACTCCTGAGGCTCGTATCACAACCCTCTCTTTACTATCGAAAGATTTACTCCATTTGAGAATACCAACCTCGAAGACTGCTATTTGCTTTGCTAGGATGTTTGATAAAAAAGAAAAACGGAAAGATTCATATGAGAGTAATAAGAATTTTAACCAGGGAATCGTTCAAATATTCTTAAAGTTCGACAGAACTTTGTCTATATACATTTTGTACATTATTTTATTATTACATTTGCATTTGGATAGTATCAATATACACAAACAAATTAAAATGC